ATGTTCTTCAATTCCCTTGTATTTAACTCTATATGGCATTCACATGTGTTCCTGCAAGGACAAGTGTGTCTCTGGAGCATGGACTGAGCCTTCTTTCCAAAGCCAACAGAAAGAGAATGGGGTTCCCTTGAAAAAAGCTTAACTAATCAGCTCTGCGCTAAATAATGACTTATTTTTTTACTGTTTCAAATAAACGTCCAAGTTCTAGATTTTTTTAATTCTCTATTAAGTCTTTCCCACCATTCCTCTTCTATCTGTTTGAAAATATTATTATAACTAAGATTTATAAGGATGAGCTATGCCTTGTAATTAAGTTTTATGGTTCAAGTAACCCTTGCTAGTCCACATGAATGAGATGAATGAAAATCCACAGCCCAACCAGGTACCTCTTCCTACCTCTCTTTATAAGGAGCCCCTCATTGTCCTCAGGAACTAGGGGTAATTCACACAGGCCTTGTTGGAGCTGCTGCTACAATTCTAACCTGTACATGGAGATGGAGGAGCACAGGGACAAAACAGACAAACCAGTAGTTGCTAACAAAGGAAATGAGGACAATGCATTTTCTAAGTGTGACTGTGAATATTTGTTTTAATGGAAGATGTGTTTTTTCTTCTGTTTCTCCTTGTTCTCTCACTACATTATTTGGATAACTCATTTTTGAATGTTTGATCACAGTATAGGAGATGCTTAAATGCACACTGCAATCACCTGGGTAGTTTTTTAAACTACTGATGCTTGGGTAATATCTATATATTCAAATGAAAATGACCTGGGCCACAACTCAGAATCAGAAAAAACTTAAAAAATGATTTTAATACACAGGTGATTCTGATATGCAGTTAAGCCTGAGCAACTTAAGCCCTTGTCTAAGCAACACTTGAGTATTTCTACTCTTTTGATTCTGGAATGCATCTGCCTGCATTAGATATTGGCGGTGGGGATGGAATGGGAGGAGGCATTCAAGAGTATTCAATTTAAACAAATCCCTTGGGACTTTAATAATTCTTTAGTGCACTAATGATTAAGAATCACGTTGAGTTTTATTGCTCTAGGATTTAAAATATTGTGACATAATTAAAACAAATGGGGACAGTTTCTCTTTTTTTTTTGGATTATTGGGCAGATTTCTTTTTGAGGTAGGAAGAAAGGAGAAGATTTTTATTTGCTCATTTGCAATAAGAGGACTGTCAGATACCACTTTAAACAAGTTAAGAAAAGGAACTGTCTCCACTGGTATATTCCTATCATTAAGTACAGCACCTAGCTTATAAATGGTGTTCAAAAGTCTTTGGTTAAATAAACAAACAAAATGAACAAATGGCATTGGCATATAATGCATTTCTTGTATCCTATGAGAGTTTTCAGTAGAAATAGGTCAGTTGATAGATAAGTTGAATATTACCAATAACAAAGTTATGAAAGGTGAAAAAAAAAAAGTCAGCTAAAAGGGGAGTGGGGGAGATTACTTTAGTACAAGTACAAGAAAGCAGAAAAGTCAGGATGGGACACCCTGAGCATGATGTATAGGAACACTTTCAGCCACTGGCAGCAGGTAAGTGAAAGGTTTTGAAAGGCATACAAGGATGAAGAAAACAAAAGGCTCTGACTCTGATGGAATTCTAGATAGATTCCTGGAAGGATGACACAGTAACATAAAAACAGGCTGATATAAGGAAATTTTGGTTAAGGAAAAAGTTATTACAGTTAAGTATTTTGATTTTTGTCTGAAATATGAATCAGAAATGCACAATTTGAACAGGAAAAAATATTGTAATACAAATACACTTTCCATTTATCATATAATGTGACAATCTTTCTAAAAGTTCAATACTGAAATAAATGGTGTAGGGACAAACAAATGAATAATCTCTGAGAGAAAACTTCAAAATTAAGCACCTAGATTCCACAGCCCAAATGTACACAAAGATTCTTCTTTCAAAAATAAGTCTTATACAATGTCAACTATACTTCAATAAAGATTAATTCTGACTGACCACCTCCAATATATTACAACATCCTACACTACGACGTCTCAACATTTTATGTATCAAATGAATGAGTCTGGGGACTTTACCTAATCTGCCTCGTGGGTCCTACCAACATCCTGACAGCCTTGATTATAATGCTACTGCAAAGATCACACTTTTGGCTCAGCAGCTTTTTAGCTACCTAATGAACTATTTCTAATCCAAAAGAAAGTGGCTCCCATTCAGAAAGTGGGCAACTTTATACTGAACAACAGAAACAATCACCTGTATCATTGCCGCTTGGAAAAAAATTTATCAATCCAGCTTCACCATTACAACGCTAAAAGACATTTGGCAATTTGGGGAATTAGCTTCCTCAATTATCAATTAGGGGAGAAAACTAGATGCTTTTCTCTGGCTAATAATTATAACAACTTACAATTCTCTACAAATAACCTCTAGATATTTAATGTGTGTGAATGAGAGAACCAATGCTAACAATTAGAACAGAGTAAGTACTCAAGAAATATTACTTCCCTTTCTGCTTCCCCTCAACACAAGAAATATTTCTAATACAGAAAAACAGAAAGTCCCTCTGCAGCTACACTAAAATTAGTTAGACTGATATCACAAGCACTTTGAAGTATCCCTAAGCTTGTTATTTTTATATAAACAAATGTACATTTTTTTGGCACATTGACTTAGAAGCAAACAGTCACTGTTACAGCTGTTCATTATACTTATTTTCCAGGTGGAGGCAAATCAGATTAATAAAGCATACTTCAATTCAGTTTCTATATACTGTCTCTGTGTGGGATCAGCTCCGGGATTCATGCTAGGAGGGATATAAAGAGGCCAACAGCAGTGAGAAAACGCCTCTTTTTATCATATTAACTAATCTAATTTTTCAAGAGGATATTAGATGAGTATCGGTAGAGAAAATACAAAAAATCTTTCTGCCCAGTGGCCACAGAATGTCCTCTGCAAGGTCATGTCAGGATTAAAATGGTCAAAAGTAATGAAAATAATATAAACAAGTCAAATTATTATAAATCAGATATTAACTCAGAGTAATAGACTGCCACTGAGTACAGATCCAATATCCAGAGGGGTAGTTTTCACTCTCCCTCAAAAGGACAGACTAAGCATATGATCATCCAAAAAAAGATTTTTTTGATCTTTCATCCAGAAAGATCATCAAAAAAATGAGGAAAGGCATTTTAGGAAAAATGTAATATCTAAAGGTTTTTTTTTTTTTTTTTTAAGATTTATTTATTTATTTATACAAGCACTGGGTACAGTCAGAAGCGCGGGAGGGTGAGAGAATTCACCTAAGCCAGAGCGGGGAGCAGAGCAGGCAGAAGGACCAAGGTACACTGCTAAGGGAAGCAGCAGGCAGCAGGAGAGGTCTGCGCGCCATATGGGACCCTCCTCTGGTGGCCGGGGAGCAGCCGGGGATCGAACCGGAGCTGCAGAGGCCGCAGGCAGCTTCGCAACCCAGCGCTCAACCACTGTGCCACTGGGGAGGCCCTAAAAGTTTTTTTAATAAAGTTAGGTGTGACAGAAAAAATCAGAACTGTGTTGGACTTCCTTACACTTACTTTATGCTTTAATATTGTTTTTCATCTGTATTACATAACTGTTTTACTGCTTAGGCATTCTCAAAGACTTATTCCAGCCCTATACAGAAAGTATCTTAGACATTTTTTGATTGTTTGTTTTGGTTTGTTTTAATGACAAGAAAAAAACCTAAAAGTAGAGATCCATGACTTCATTAAAAGATATGTGCAAATGTATTTGTGTTATTTTACTGAGAATATTTAAAATACTTTGCTAACTTCTAAAATAACTGTGGCAAAAGTATTGCTCATACCTAACCATTTAATGAATAATTTAAAGTATATATTATGAATGTCACAAAAAACAACTGTTTAACACAGTAAGAGATGAGTAGCAGCAACCCACTTCCTGAACTGTATAGGGTCCATATTATGTTTGTTTTGAATCATGGTATTTAATGATTAAGTATGGAAGCTCTACTCAAATCCCAAGAAGCTCTCTGAACGTATCTATTTATCATCTTCTGGGAGATGTAGATATGGGAATTCAGACACAAATTATGACTTATCTTGTGAAATCAATGGTAATCACAATAATTGCAGTGACCATTTATTAGGCATTAAACACTTTTAGACACTATGTTAAGCACTTTTATGTATCATATTATTTAATTTTTACAACAATTCCATAAATCAAAAGTTTCAATTATCTGAGCATTTACACTAAGGTCACACACTAGAGCTGAAATTAGAATGAAATCTGTCTGTATCCAATGTCTGCAATTTTAGCCTTTTTTTTTTTTTTTTTTTTTAAGCAGGGAAAGGGTTAGCTTGCATCTTTTATAAACAAGGCAATTATCACCTCCAATAACAGAAAATCATCTTTGACTGAAGGGCAAATGCTGACTGGGTTATTTTCATTAACTCTGTAGCAAATGTTCTGCTTTTACCACACTTTAAAAGCTGCATTGATATGTTGATATAAAATCCAGCAAGGTAATTAAAATTGAATTCTAAAGTGTCTTACAAATTTCTGAGAAAGCACAGCAAATTGAAATGTAGCAGTTTTATTTTTAGTTAGTATATTAAAGATATTAAAGAAGCTTTCTAATAGTTTCAATTATTAATTGAAATTCTGAGCTTTCAGTTATGTTTAAGTATTTCCACGGATGTTATTATGGTAAGAAGTATTTCAAGAAAAAATTTGGCATCATTTTGACAGAAAACAGGTTCTAACTTTTTCTCTTATTTCATCCAATTCATGAATGAAAACACCTTTATTGTTACTGGAAGGAGGCCTATAATGGAAAGAATAAATGGATTATAAGAAAAGCAGAGGATGAGGATCAGAGTTCCTCAGAGAAATTTTGTGTGTATGTGTGTGTGTATGTTCAAGAGCCTGGAATGAGTCAAAGATTATAAGTTCTAAGGGCAAAGAGGTAAAATAGCTTGGTAAGATGAAAACAGACTTACCTTTAGGAGAGCCAAGGCTACATGAAAAATTATGTTCAAACCCTGAAACAGAAAAAAGAGTCAAAATCAATATCGTCATACTCATTATAATTTTATTAAGAATTTTCCCAGGACTTCCATACAACTTTAATAAAATCCCAAAATTGCTTTCATCTTCACATACAATAATCATGAGATTTTTTTTTTAAAAAAAAAAGGTAATTGTGTTTCCTGAGAGGCTTATTGCAAATTTTAGGTACTATTTAGTTAATGTCTCACATAGAACTGCTGCTTATTATATTTTATTTCAATCTATTTTGGGATTATTTGCATAAGCCTAAGGTTTGCAAAAGTCAAGTTCCTTGATCAAGATGACATGATGTAGAAGCCTAAAATTAACTAAACTGTATGAGTCCTTGTTTATACATCTGGGTGATATGGTCAAACTTCCTGTGGCAGAGAAAACAAACAGCGTGGTTGCTAAGAGGACATATTGTATGAGGGGTGCTGTAAGCATCATTCTAGATTTCCACTACTGTTCTCAATGTTTTGCAGTTTAAGTATTTGCTTTCCGGTGGTATTTGCACATCTAGAGGTAGTTACTAAGGGCTATTTGCTAGACTTCCTTTTCCATTTACCCCCTGAAAACCAGAAAAATGTTTCTCTAGAGATAAATTAAACAGATATTAAAAAGCCAATCTGGAGGTAAGTTTTAACTCTGTGTTCAGCACAATGACTCTGAAGAGAGATTGAGAAATTAAATTAAAGACAGGGAAGCTTAAATGCTCAAATAACAAAATCAGAAACAAAGTTGCTATGGAAATGTGCCGTGCTGTCTCCCTGCCCATGCAAGTAATCATACATGAAAAGAAAGATCTTTCAAGTATTTGCTAACATCTCTCATAAAGTCAGGTTCTCATAAAGAACTTCTAATAAACTATCCTTTTCTGCCTTCAAAATCAGATATGAGGGTTAGGATTAGGTAGTTGGAGTATATTCCTGTTATAATTTGCTATGTTATGTTATGTAATCTTTTATTTTTAGCTACCAAAAATATGAAGTAATGGTGGACAGGATGAACGATAAACACAAAATATATGGTTGGTGGCTTTGGGTTTACTCAGTCAACTCTTTAAAGAAACAAAAGCAGCAGGAAGTAAGTATAAGCAGGTCAGGAGACAAAAATGAATTGACATAATTCATCAGCACACCAAATAATGATCTTCCACTGGTTCTGAATGCAATTTACCAATAAAGAAAAAAGAAAAAAAAAAGTACTATACATCAAAAAACTTGGGTTACAATTAAGAAAAAATTGCTTTCCCAATTTAAAGATGAAAAGATGCTACTAAAGATGAGAAAGACCCATACCCTACTCTCTCCACCCTACATCACAACTGCTTAGCAATACAGAATTCTCACAATCTGATATCAGGACCAAATACACCATGTCTCTGGTTCATGCTTTTTTAGTCACAACTCAAAATGTAAGCCCTTCTTGTCTCTAATTTTTCCTATAATGTTCTGGTTCTTTCTCCCATTCTGCTGGTGCTTCCCAAATCCATTTCAGGGTACTCTTTGGAAACTCCACCCCTTGTTCAATCAGCTCTGCTACATTATCAACCATCCTGCCAACATTCTCCCCACTTCTTGCTTTCATAATAATAGTGAAATCGCATTGATTCTTATAACAACCTATATTATGATTCTCACTTTTCAGACCATGAACATGAATAGCCTAATGTATTAGATATGTGTTTAGTAGCAGGCTAGTGATATTCTCCAGCCTCCTACGGTCTAGTTTGACGGCATTTTCACCACCTTGCTAAGTATAACATATGTAGTCGGTACTTCTTTGTTGACCAAATGATTGAACTATATTAGCTAGCCCAAAATTTCTTAGATTTAATTTTTTTTTCTGTATGGATGCAACTAGACCAACTTACAGAATCATCATCAAATTACAGTAAAAAAAACTTTGTTGTTCAATTATCTCAAAGTCAAATTACCAGACAAATAAGCTATGAAAAATACAAAAAAGAACTTAGATTAAAAAAAAAAATCAAAACTTTTAGGTAACAAAAATAGCTCTGAACATTAAAAGACAAATTTATTCAAAATTTTGTTGATACTCACTTCAAATTAGTATGGTGATATGATTTTGTGTTTATACATACCAGAAGTAGCAAACTAAGGTACAAAGTACATATTAGATAGGGTTAAGCACAGGAAGCCTGCAGACACAGTTGTCAGAACTAAAACATTAGATATGACACAGATAAAAGATATTTTTAAAAATTACAAAATGCACAGCTGTCTGGGTCCACTATTGGACCCAACAACCATTCAATAGTTAATGTTAGTTGAGGACAATAATCCAGCAGTATTAATGAATACTTACATGATGTTTAAAATATTTTGCTTAAGAGAGCATAATACATGTTTTAAATAAAATGTAGATTTTTTTTAATTTTGGGAAACTAAAAAGATAACTTTTGGTATGCAGGAAAACTTTAGGTAAGTAAACTCTTTAAACAACTTCAGCGTAAAAAGGTTTTTTTGTATCTGCTTATATGAAGCTCTAAATATTTATCCATAAAACCAAGCAAAATAGACTTCACAGGCCTTAAACTAAAGCAGTACAGCTACACTATGAAAGACAAGTAATTCTGAAATTGTTGGAAATCAGGAAAAATTTGCTATTCTACTAAGTTGATTTTCTAAAAGAAGCATAAAGGCAAACGTTAGTTGAATATTTTTAAATCTCTCTCTCTTTTTTTTGCTTTTAGATAAGATATTCTCATTCAGAAATATAATTATAGGCATCATTAATAATGGGAATCTTCCTCAGGCTAGCATTTTGTCAGTTCAAAGGCAGGGTATTAAAAATATTTTGGTTATAAGATGGCTACAATAGGTTGACCCACAGCCTCCTTGACAACAATGAAGTGAATATAAGCAAAAATCAAAATCAACAGGCAACTATAAACCAGAGACACACTATGAGGGGGGAGAAGGGAGTAGGATCAAAAAAAAGGGTAGTGGGAATTTTACGGGAACTGTAACCAAAATGAAAATTACATTGTACAAAAATGAAAAATGATGTAAAAAAATATAAAATAAATTAAAAAAAAAAGACCCATTACACTGCCAGGTCACCATGAGCTAAATGCCACCCCCCTTTGAAATACATTCTTATTTTTTAAATTTTATTTATTTTTATTGAAGTAACATTGGTTTGCAACATTGCAAATGATTTAGGGGAATAGGCTTATATCTCTTCAGATGTAAATCACCAAACCAGAACCGCCACTAAAGCACCCATAGTCCTTTACCCTAGGCCATTGGGCCCGCTCTGCCCTTGTTTCCTACCAACCCTCCTTCCCCACATTTGCAATAGTTTTTATTTATTTATTTATTTATTTATTTATTTATTTTATAGAGGCATGTTTATGCACTGGGTACAGTCAGAAGTGCGGGAGGGTGAGAGAATTCACCAGCGCCAGAGTGGGGAGCAGAGCAGGCAGAAGGACCGAAGTACACTGCTGAGGGGAGCAGCGGGCGGCAGGAGAGGTCTGCGCGCCATGTGGTACCCTCCTCTGGTGGCCGGGGAGCAGCCGGGGATCGAACTGGCGCTGCAGAGGCTGCGGGCAGCTTCGCAACCCAGCGCTCAGCCGCTGCGCCACCAGGGAGGCCCTGCAATAGTTTTTAGAAGAAAAACTATGTCATTTTTTCAAGAAGCTCCCCACCCTTTTCTTGAATATGTGATTGGCAGCAATGTTTTTGTTACTGAGGGATAAACAAGTGCTCCCCAATAGAAGTAAAAAGGATTTAAACATTTAGAAAACAAGAGTAAAAATAACAAGTGAATACATCATTATGACATTTATATAAAGGTACAACTCCAAATACAAGATAATAAGAGTAAATATCTACTGAATATTTTCTATGCTTAAAACCTGAGTTAATTACATAGAAAACATGTCTTTATTAATCCCATGACAACCCTAAATTCCATTTCATACACAAGGATATTATCACTTAGAGAAATCAAAGTAAATTTCCCAAGGTTACATGGCTAATAAGTAGGTTTTAGCTATGCAGTGTAACTCTAGATATCACACCTAACCACTAAGTAAAAGAAGATGGACCAGTGAATAAGTGAACCAGGGAATAAATCTCTTGGTTGGGTATCATTTAATGTGTTTTCTAGTCCTAAAGGATTAAAGTACATTTTTAGAGAGGAGGATAGAAAGATAAGGTTATCTTCTATCAAACCCAAATTTTATTATTTGTGTCCATTTTGAAAACACAAGTAGCTGACTGCCTACAGGATGTGAGACAACAGAAACTCAGTATATTGTGGCAGGAAAGGGTCACCCACGCCCCTCCAGTGACAGTAGATTGAGATCAGTCTTATGTGCATGCAGAAGTGCTTCCTTAACTGACTGAGATGTTGCTGTTTCAAAATTCAGTCACAGCCTGGCAAAATCTTCACTTGAAAGGACACCTACGAGTAATTGCCCCAAATTAAATAATTGCTCCAAAGTGCAGATCATCCTGTTCCTGGGTAGGCCAACAATTGAGCACCCACAATGCTGCATAAAGGAAGGCTGACAGCAGAGTACTCACTGAAACAAAGACACGGAACATTTTGGCTCTGACGAGCAGGCAATCGTGGGCTCAGAGGGAGCTGACAGATTGCGTGAGAAGATGTCAAAAACTGTACTGACAGCACTGAGAACAAATGCTGAAAGGTAGTGTCAAAAAGTGTCAAATGTGCATCAGTATACCTGGGGCCTTAGGGATCAAGATAAAAGGGAAACAGACAGTACTTGTGGAAAAGGGAATCCTAACAACAAGGCAGAGAGAAATTATCAACCAGAAGTAGCCAAGGTAAATAGCAGGCTCACAAACAGCTACCGCTAGAGGAAAGGGGTGTGGCTCTTTCTGACACAGCCCCATGGCCCAGCCTACCCCAGGAATGGGTACTAAATGAGATAGCACATAAAAAGGATTATCAAATGAATTAAGCAAATGCTAAGTACTCAATAAATGCTAAC